TCAGGAAGAAATTCCCATAGACCACGGCTTCAAAGCCCGGAAAACATTCCTAAATGTGATTTAACCGGCCGTGAAAGCCTTCATAGTCTGATATTCCAAAAGTGTTTAGTTTTCGAAATATTTGCAGTACAGAATGTAGTAAACGGTTCGAAATTATTGTAATTGTATTTTTTAAGTTATGGATAGCAGTTCCCCAATTCACCACATATAGGCCATATAGGCCATAGGCCACCCTAGTACCTATATTGTACTATTCAGTTCAATAGTAGCTCCCAGATGGATATTGGCCTGCGAGAGAGTGCAGGTTGCGTTTAGGGCAATAGAGAGATGGTGCACTGATGCTGGATTATCAGTTAATCCCGGCAAAACGGAGACAATTAAGGGACTATAGAGCCCAACGCTGTACGGAAAGCCTCTTACCCTCGCGGAGGAAGTTAAGTATTTAGGCGTGACCCTAGACAGTAAACTCACGTGGAACCCCCACGTATAGAAAGTTATACAGAAGGCTACCGTCACTATGTGGCATCGGCGCCGAGCACTGGAAAAAACTGGGGCCTGAAACCACACGTTATGAAGTGGTTGTACACTGCAGTCATAAGACCGAGGATCTGTTACGGCTCCGCGGCCTGGTGGCCGGCGGTGGAGAAGGCCGTCGAAACTAGCGGGTCTACAAAGACTGATCTGTTTAGCGATGACCGGAGCAATGAGGACGACACCGAGCGTAGCATTAAACATCCTCCTAGGCCTCCCAGAATTACCCCTATGGATATGTAGGGAGGCCGCCGCGGTGCTGCAACGGATGGAATTCGGCTCATGTCAGTTGACATGTGTAGGTGTCGGGATCGTGGAGCACCGGCGAGACTTGCTGGTGTTTGGGGCGAGTAGCGCTATTGGTTGTCTATTATTAATTTGTAATTTCTGGAACTTTTCATTTAATTAGGTAGTTAACGTAGGTTACAGATCAAACGGTTAGCAGACGGTAGTTTGTGGTCGTCAAACCACGTTTTCTTGTTCTTTGTTAAGCTCACCATTTTCTTTTTTTTTGTATCATCATTCAAGTCAGTTTACGTGCTATCACGGTAAAAGAATTGAGTAGGTATTTCGGCAGCATCCATCGCTGAGTGTTCTAGTTTTGCTGCGAAAGCTAGTGGCGCTCAAACGAACTCACCCTTCGGGCTTAGCACACGACCGCCCGAAATACCCGCTCAAGAGAAACCTTTTTTTTCTCTCTCTATTAAATTGTTATTTAAATCGTTGCATTAATTAAATAGTTTTCATTAAAGGTTGATTTTTATTCTTTTGTTCTGTCCGAAATTTGTCGTGTTGCA